GTGGGTGTGGGTGTGGGTGTGGGTGTGGGTGTGGGTGTGGGTGTGGTCGTGGGTGTGGGTGTGGGCGTGTGGGCGTGTGGGCGTGTGGGTGTGGCTACGGAGTGTGTGCGCAGGAATGATAACACCCACACATCCCACACCCACACATCCCACACCCACACATCCCACACCCACACATCCCACACCCACACATCCCACACCCACACATCCCACACCCACACCCACACCCACCCACACCCACACCCACACCCTAATGAAAGAGCTTTAACAAGACAGATTTCATTGATTATTTATTGAAGAATTATTGTAAAATGTTCAAAATGAGAAAAAGAATATTTGCATCGATATTCATGTGAAAAATTGTCAATCACTGAATAATTGATAGAAGAGATGATTGTCTTATTTTCTTAGAAAAAAATCTTTTCATCTGATATTTTTTAATGTCATTCAAATCTATTCAATACTTAAACTATTTTTAAAATTGACTTCAATTCGAAGAAATGATTTTTGTAAGCAGTCAATTAGAAAACATTTTTTTCTTCAATTTCTATTCAAATAAAAACTTGTCATTAGATTTGATCTGAAAAATAATTTTATGCTCGGCGAAATCTTATGTGAACTAAACTAGATGAAGTTCAATGAAGAAACTTCTTCTTTGAACGATCGCATTTCTACATGGAATGACTATACTCATCGTTTCTTCATTGACTTTCTTCTTTTCTTCTCATTATTATTTCTAAGAGTAAGAATGGCATCTTTTTTTTTGGAAAATTCGACGTTTTTATGCATAACAATTAATAAGATCAATCTTCAATAAACCACATTAGTCAATTTTCATTAATAAGATTTCGATTTTCAACGAATATTTTCTTCGGATGATTGTCAAATGATCGATTCAATGGAAAAATGTCTAAATGCAAAAGAATAAGAAGCCGAGTGAAACATGTTTTGGCATGTGTATGAAAACCATCAGTATCTGGGCGAAGAATGCCATACACGATGGGCAAATCTCGAAGCTAATTTTCGGCTCTTATTTTCAGCTGAGAAGCTTGAATATCTTCATTTGACGTTGAAGATTCTTGTTGACGAGTTTGACGTCTTGTTCAAACACTTGCTATACACTTTGATCAGGAAATTTTTTTCCTTTTTTTAAACTTTATGGTTATATTTCGAAGATCGATTTTACGAGCCGTTTCCTACGAAACTTTTATCTTTGGATAAAAGTCGAAATATCACCCATAAGTTTCAAAGAACACAATTGACGAAGAATATTTGTTTGTTTTGAAAAGATTTGCTTTTATATTCTAGTCGTAAGTAGATGATACACAGGCTAAGACAGCTGTGCAAAGTACTTCTTAATCCCTAGCAGATTGTTTTATTCCTAATTTTATTTTCAAATCAATGCAAGTATCGTTTTTTCCCTCAAACTGCTTTGTCCTACATCCTATCAGTAACGATACAGAAAGGCGTCCAAATTTCAGACACTGTCCTGACTTTTCAGAGAATCTGGCAACCCTGGTCAGAATAGATTTGTATCAAACCTAAATGTGAAAAAAACAAATCCAAATCCAAATAAACATCTAAGAAACAAATTCAAATCCAAAATTAAACCAAATCTGTTTCTAAAACCAAACCCAAAGCTTTGGGTTTGTTGCATCCCTAGACTTTCCGGACACTCTGTACATTTTTGTTAAACGAACATATCTAAAGAGTAGATGTTTGTCTACTAGCTTTCGTGCCACTAAGTACCAGAAGATATAAAATAATCAAAATCGAAATCATTTTGAATAATAAGCAAACTAACTTTTCTTTCAGAAAATGGTCAGCGAATCCATAGGATGAGCGCTATCTAGTTATTGCTGACAAAGAAATT